TATTTGATGTGCAGAGTCGCCTGCCCTGCCATAGAATGGCTCCAGGCTGTTATGTGTTTTCACTTTCCATATATATTTTTTAAATAGTTTATCTCTCTCCTCCCTGTTGTCAAGCTGTCAGTCAGCTGTCAGTTTTTACTGCCGTCAGTGAGCCTGCCTTTATCACACCCCAATTTGATGCTGTTAATCAGCTGTCAGTTGAAAAAAAATCAGATGATAAAGACCTCCGAAATTACATTAACAATGTAAGTTGGTGGGCTGAGCCCTGAATAGAGTTTTTAAGTTATGAGTTCTAGTTCTTCTCCTGTCTATATTTAGCTATATAATTGTGGGAAGACACATAACTCCTCTGGGCTACCTCAGTACCTTCATCCATAAAATGAAGAGGCTGTGTGTGTTGGTAAGCTGGGAAGGAGACAGAGACAGAGAGATAGAGCGAGACAGACACAGAAAGAGACACAGAGAGACAGAGATAGACAAAGACAAAGAGATAGAGATAAAGAAACAGATACCGAGAGATATGCCTGAACCCTAAGTTTCTCCGGCTATCAGAAACAACATAAAACTTCCTTATAAATTAACAAAACTCAGGGAAGGGTACCAGTGACCCTTTAAGTATTCAATTCAGGGTTGTTTTTACAGTAAGCATCCTACTTAACTTCAGTCTTCTGAATTCACTTCTGATCATCTTAAAACTCTTCCCCCTAGGGCTGGGGATTTAGCTCAGCGGCAAAAGCGCCTGCCTGGCAAGCACAAGGTCGTGAGTTCGGTTCCCGGTACCGGAGAAAAACAAAAAAAAAAAAAACAAAACAAACAACAACCACAAAAAACTCTTCCCTTTGTTCTACAGGACAACTGTCCCATTGTTGACCACCTGACCCTTGGCTTTTCTTATTATTTCAATCTTGGACTTTTCCTCCATTAACTCAAGAGTCTTGGGCCCCTGTTACAAGGTTAAGGTGAAGAGAAGGAATCAGCAAAGAAGCCCGACAAGCAGCAGTCTGTGTGAAAATCAGAAGACTGTGTATCTTTGAAGCCAACTAAAGAGATGTTCTTTAAACCATAATACATGAGGTACTGCTAATACCTTACGGGAGATGCGTGCTGAGAAGTGGCTGTGGACCTCACCAGCGATCTGAATGAGAACAGTCTTAATGCGAAGACTTGCAGAAAGAACAGAAGGAATAAATTTGGAAGCAGTAAAAACTGACAACTCTGTTGAGAAGTTATACTAATAACAGAAGAGAGAAATGAGGCAGTAGCAGAGAGGAGAAGTAGAATGAAGAGTGATTTTTTAAAATGTAGGAAATAATGGTTTTTTGCATACTTTGAAAAGAAAGGAAAACAGGAATGATTCGGAAAAGAGGAAAACCAACGGTGCAGAACAGACAAGAAAGAATTGCCAGAATAAGAGTCCTTGAGTGTGCAAGAAAACAAGTTCTGGACAAGAAGTAGACATAACGCCTTCCTTAGGCAGAAGCAAGGTGAGCTCATCCACAGCAATAGGTGTAATGATGGAGAATACACTCCGGGAAGCAGCTAGCGGTGGTGTCAGTGTATAAAACTTCCCTTCTGGTTATTTCTATTGTCTCAAACTCAACTGATAATGAACACAGGTAACTTGATATCTGAGATTTCGAAAAATAACTGAGGCATGATTTACTATCTAAAAAGGTGACATATGATACGCTTGATAGATAATCCAAAGGCTCTGTCTGAATTTAATAGTAGAAATTCAAAGCATACTATCAAGTATTGTGGGACTTTTTTTCTCTAGTCATTTTTAATCCTGTAAGTGTAGGCAGAAAGTAAGTGAAGAATAGATTTAATCAAGTTGGGGATTTTGCCAATCCAACACAAAGCAAATGATAAAAAAGATTCACAATCTTAAAATAGTAAATATAAAGATGGAATACAGAAGTTAAGCTGCATAAAGAAGGACAAAATAGGACAGAATAAGAAGTTGACTCAGTTAATGTAGTAGTTCTGGAGCAGTCAAAAGACCGTTTGAATAGGAATGATAAAGCAACTAAGTAAACCAGCCTCTTTATTTATATAGACTGACCTTTTGGCAGAGCAGTTTTCTATGTTCATGAGTCACTCACAGGAAGGTGGGAGGTGCAGTGGATACAATTCTCTATATTCAGGCAGCAGTAATGTGCTTGGTTATAAATTAAGGGGGGTAGGGGTGTTAATAAGAGGAAATAATCTTTTATTGTGTTCTATTATATCCAGCCACTATCCCTAGGCATCTAGCATGCATTATTTAATTTAATCACTTCAACATCCCTATGAGGTGACAAGGTAAATGTAACCAAAACCATTAAAGAATTTAGGTTCAGGGTCATTCCACTGGCACCAGCCATACAGATAATAAGTGGAAGCTACAAACCCAAATGTATGTGTGTGACCACAGCATTTAAGAGTATCCCTGAAAGTTTAAGACATATAAGAACATATTTTCAAGAGAACAGTTTTGCTTGCAATTATTTCTCTAGTATTTGGAAGTAAGGCAGGGTATGGTGAAGAAAGCAATAGATAATACAGGTACCATGAGTCCATTATTACTGAATGCCTATGTGATGTTCTTCTACCAGAGAGCAATCTTATAAATCCCCATTAATTTTGTTAGAAATATGGCTTTTCCATCTTCTTTGGTTAATATCTATATTATATTATATAGAGCATATTACATTGATAATTTAACGACATTTTCTGCTTTGTTTTTATTTAAACTTATTTTTGCCATGAGCAAAATTATGTATGTATAGGGAGAAAGATACAAGCATTCAATAAAAGTTATTTTTTTAATCACCTTAGCTATTTTGCCTTCGGAATCACCACATATTTTTCAACATCTCAACAAAATAATATGCTTTTAAAACCGCAGGCATTAGAGTGATTGTCATTCATGCAAATAATCACTTACTTACACTATATGAGTTCGGGTTGTATAAAGCAAATTACCATCTGAAAATAATTCAAATAGCACTCTGGGCTAAGACCTTGTTTATGAATGCTATCTTGGCCACAATATTTCTTAACCTTCTGTTTAGCTAGATTCTTTTAAGCTAACATGGTCCAAATTAATAAATTATTCAATTGCCATAGGTGTATTAAACATAAGATGTTGTAGAAGCGTATCAGACACCAATAAATTTAGGACATTTATTTGGAAATTTATAGCAGTATTATTGAGGTGAATTATATTCACTCACTCACCTAAAGATATTCATTTTTCTGTAGAGTATATGAAAAACTTAAAAACTTACTCAAAAAATAAGGCTGATATTTTAAAAATTCAGATATATGACTGTGTTAAGGCTAATGATAAATGTCAAGTATAAAAATTATACTTTTCAGAAACTGAAAATCTCTCATTACACCTAAGAAAACTGTATGTCTGCAGAAAGTTCCCCATTCGTGGATTTAACCAACTATAGATCAGAAACATTTAAGAAGGGAAAAATGCATCTGTCTTGAATATGTACAAACTTTTTTCTTGTCATTATTGCCTAATTAATACTCCATAACAACTAGCTGCATAACCTTTACATTGTATCAGGTACCACAGTAATCTAGAGGTGACTTAAAAGTATGCAGGAGGATATCTATGGGTCATATAAATAAACGTAGACCTCAGTATCTCTGGAGAGTCCCAGAACCATTCGTCCACAGGTATACACACATGACTACACACACACACACACACACACACACACACACACACACTCCTGAAAATTGTGATATTAGATCCATTTAGCTTACAGTTTTCAGTAGAGCAAATAGATCATTAAGTGTTATTGGAAAATGACCTACAATGACAAGAAGCTTTAACAGTACTTGGAAATTTCAATCAGAAACCACAGAACATACTTCAGACTTAATCCAGTCTGTGACAATCTTAAGATGACTGCAAGCCAGTCTACTTTTCCCAGCCTCTGTTTTCTGCAACCCATAAAGGAAGGATTGTGCAAGGTGGTCTAACTTAAATTTTATGCCTCGCTAACTTGATTTGGTATGGTGCAGATTTTTTCATCAGTGAAATATTAACTAGTAAGACACTCAGATAATTCAACATGGTGGGTACAGATGAGGACTACTGTCCCAATAGCAAAATCTGGGTGAACTCAGTAAGTTTAGAACATAATAATTAACGGTGACATCCTGCACAGCATGTATGGATATTAAATCATTCCCTGCCTTCACTTCAGAGATGGGGAAGAAACAGCTGTCCCTGAACTCCTTTTAAGGATGCAGTCAATTACAAAGCAGCAGCACCCCCACTTTGTGTGAGTCTCACTGAAGTAAACTTTCTATCCACAAGGGAGAAATATTCCTGGTGGTAGTAAAAATAGTTTTTCAGGGTTTAATCAAAAGCGAAAAAGAATTCCAAAATGTTCCCTTTGAGCCACATCATCCACCGCTAATTCAGGGTGGGCCAGTAACAAGGGTAATAAAAATGTCCTTAGTAACTGAGAAAGAAAAACGGCTATGAAGTACATTTGTGACTCAATTTGAAAGATTTAACTCTGTATTAATATAAATAACAAAAATGAAGGAGGAAAAAGTAAAGGAAATCAAGACGGGAAATTAAAGGCACCCAAACAATGAGATTTAACATTGATTTACAAGCGTTACTATGATGCATATAAACCAGTGAGGCTCAGCTGAACGCAAAAGTTGAGAAATATGCTTGACAGTAACTTGTGTAACAACAAGAACAACAAAACAGTGTCGAAAGCCAGAACAGTGTACAAGGACACATACATGTGAGTAAAGAAAGAAAGAATGCAGTATCTGTACCAACCGCTCGGTGATAATGTGGACACATGATTATTTACAGTCTTTGTTCATCACAGCCTGGTGAGATAGAATTCAATTCTCTACTTAACCAGGCTCATGGTGAAAAGTTACAGTTGGCAAGAAGAGCACCGACTTCTACATACTTGAGAAGTAATTTATGACACAAAATTGAGAACAGAGTCAAAGACACTGACCTGCTCACATCGGGAAACCTGATGGGAAAGTAAACAGCTTGGCACTTGGGTCTGATGATGTTTTCCAGATCCTTGGGTCTGTGATCAGGAATCAGCTTCATAAACTTCCCAATGGAAGTGAGAAACGACTCCATATTAAAAACCGAGTTGAATACAACCACATCAGCCACCAAGCTGTAAAGGTAAAAGATAAATGCAAATGATCAGATTAGATTCATTCAGGGTTATTTTTATAATATCAACTCAGCATTAATCAGAGTTTACATTACATCTTAGGCTTAAAAAGCACATTTTATTTCCCCTCAGAACCTACCAAAGTGTCTCCAATAGGCAAGTTAGTGTCGTTAGTATTCTATCACAAGAAGTTGTATTGGTGGAATCAAGGAAGAAAGGCATCAAGAGTGCTAAAAGATGTAATGGGCTGGCATGAGACTGCAGGCCAAAGCATGCGTCCCCACACTGCCAGGCACAGTCCACACCAGCGGTGACGTTACGTACAGGAAGTCTTCTTTTTGCTGTACCCCAACTAGACACACGAGTTTCTCTGACAGTAATGTACTTCATTTTACACTGTACTACTGAGAACAGGATGTTCAAAATACTTGTCATTACTTAATTCATATGAAGCTATTTTCATACTAGATTATATATATATATATATATATATATATATATATGAGACACTATTTGATTAAAATCTATTTCCTGCTTTAGCTTTAAAAAAAAACTTAGTGTTATACTTTTTAAAATTCTGGAACTACACAGGAAGGATGCTATCTCTACTTATTTCACTATTACATTCAGGGTAATCAGAAAAGCACAAAAAGTAGTGGAAATGGATCCAGAAATCTATACCTTTCGATCATGCTCATTACCTAAAGGAACGTATCATAAAAGACCATAACACAATAGATCTTTAGAATGAAACAAAGCAAATGTAATATTGGCTACCACTTCTCACCAACAGACTGCATTGTTCTCTTTAATGTTTTTAAAGTAAAATGAAAGCAGAGCCAAGCACGGGGGTGCATGCATGCAAGACCAGCATTCTGGGAGACTGAGGCAAGAGGGTCACGAATTCAAGCCCAGTCTGGGCAGTGTAACAACTTAGGGAAACACTGTCTCAAAATAAAAATAGAAAGGACTGGGGATGGACACGAGTGTGAAGGTCTTGGGTTTCATCCTCAGTACCAAAAAAAGAGAAAAACGTTTGTGACATCAACTGATTCATTACTTTTCAGATTGCCTATAAAATTTTCTAGGTCACCAATTAACACAAACGATAGCTACAGAGGAGCTGAATAAAACCTGAGTGTGTAGTATGATCGCTTTATGAATCAGATATTCATTTCACAATTTAATAATAATTGACATAATATTAATCATCAGTATTATTTAATAATCATTAAGTAACATTATTTAATGATTTATTATATCATAATTTAATAAATCACAATTCTGATTTCTGAAAGGGCCTCATTTCATTTAACTAGTGATTCAGTGTCGTTGTATCTTAGTGAAATGCATACAAATACTTCCATAATCAGGTAACATAAGATTAAATATACAAAACAGTCGGTTTTATTTCACCCTAAAAATACATAATAGCTTAATAACACTGAAAAGAAGACACACGATGGGAGGCTGAGGTAGGAGAATGGAAAGTTTGAGCCCACTCTGGGTGATTTAGCAACTTAACAGGACCCTCTCTCCCCTAAAAAGTTTGAAGTCAAAAAATTAAAAAGAGCTGGAGAGGTAGCTCAGGACAAAACCCCTGGGTTTAATCTCCATCCACAAATAGAAAGACAAGACGAGAGGAGAGGAGAAGAAAGGAGAGGAGAGGGGAGGGGAGGGGAGGGCAGGGGAGGGGAGAAAAGAAGACATGTAAGTCTATAGGACTACAAAAATTAAAATCAATAGAGCTTATAGACTGGATTAGAATTATCACATCAAAGCCTGAGTTTACATCATATTTACTGAGCTAAATTTACTATTTACATTTATTTCTATTTTTACTGATATAGATTTACTATTATTAATGCACAGTAAAATTAAAAACCAATGAAAGAAATGTTGACTTGCCACCCCTACGCCTCTCTTCCAAAATTAGTTTTGCGCGCAAGTATTTTCCTTTCAGTTGCTACCTGGTGCAAACGTGGGGAATGGAGATGATTACAGCGTGGAGAGCACAAAGCAATGTCACAGAAGCGCTGACACAGCACTAAGCAATACGGAAGCCAGTATAACAATATCCAAAAGTTGAAGAATGTTTTACAGCTAGTCTGTTTTCACCATATGTCACGTATTATAATAGCGACCCACAGATCATAATGTATACTTATGACATGTGTTCGTAAGTCAGAGGGTTAGTGAAACCTCCGTGTAAGGTGAGCGCTTATGTCAGTCATCTTTAAAGTCCTTAAGTGCCACACAGTCAAGAAAGAAATCTGACAGTGCCAACAAAAGCAGAAGTCAGCAAGAAAACTAAAGAAACATTTGAGGAAGCAGGAGTCATACTTTTCAAAAGGAATCAGAACGGGACCGCTTTCTGACACTCTGATTTTTCCTCTGGACAACTGTGAACCATTTTTCCCCATTAGTAAACCAAAGGGTGATGAAGGCCACTTCTTTTCCTCCAAGCATGTCTATCAGTTTACCCTCTTGAGAAGAAAAAAAGCAAAACTCATGTGCAAGCTTTTATAGTCTCTTTCTCTATGAATAAAAATAATTTTTTATGAAAGGCAGGAGGGGTAGTGAGCAAATTTTTTTTTAGCTATCTGCCCTCAAAAGGCATGCAACTCAACTATTTACACTTTTTAAAATCTAGTTGACCATAAATTAAACATTCAAGACAGTTTACAGAAATATTCTTTTTTTGTGCATTTCAGCCCTGATATGAGGGGATGTAATTTCCATTAACTTTAAAGCCACCCATAAAGGGAAATATAGATTTAATTTTTTCCCAGTGATTTCTCAAGGGTAATAAACACACACTATCTAAAGAAAAAACTGATGCTAATTCAAGAAATCATAAAAATATTGCAAATGTTTCCATATTGATAAAGCACAAAATGATTTTATTTTTATTTTTAAAACATGTTTCCCTTCTCTGTTTCAATATGAAATATTTTAATTTTATTATGAAATTTTAAAATGGTTGCTCTTTTATGAGATATTTGATGTGAAGCAGTTCCACTCTATTTTGATAGCACTGCTACTTTACAGTTAAAGCAGCTTGTAAAAATGATTGCAGGAAAACATTTACAAAATGCTCAAAAGACAGAATTATTATCATATAGCTGTTTTTGCTGTCAACTAAACTAAGAAACAGACCTGCAAGAGAAGAGGGTTTCTTTAAACATATTATCAACCCCAATGGCTAATAATTACTAATAAAGGTGAATAAAGTGTACATAACCACTGCCAGGCTGATTCCATTTGACTGGTGCAGTTATGTGATTAGGACCGAATAGCAAAGCCATTTTGGAGTTGTTATTAACTTCTTTCATTAACAAAGTATCAGGAGATAGACTTTGTTGAAGTAACAATAGAGACAGATCCTCACCTTTAAAATGTCACGGTATTTTAAGGCTGTATCATTTCAGAGGACTCCATGAAGAGAAAAAAAACATCAAAAAATTCATTTTCCACAGTTTTCTGTCTTAAGAACAACAAAAAGACAGCACTGAGGTGGGGGAAGTGCTTTGCTTTATTATGCATTCATGTTTATTTCTCTGTAAATTTCTATTTTGATTTTAGCTGAATACAGTGAAAGAGGTTGGGAAATATAAGTTGACTAACTGCGCCTTCGAAATGCATGCCTTAAATAATAAATCATGGAATCAAGAGGTGAAGGTCCCTGCCAACCTTTTGATTCTATTTTGAATGTTATGAAAAATACAGTTAATTAGTCTAACATATAATTGGATTGTTTTATGTATATATAGATATATATTTTTAAACAAAAGGAGTAACTATTACCTTATATATACTGCAGAGCAGAAGTAATTATTATCATAGAAGGGATGGTTAAATCTTTGCAGCTACCTTAAGATGTTTAAAAGTTTATAGAAGGGCTCCAGATATAAAAGCTAACCATTTGCAAAGACAAAGATGGCAAAGGACAAAAAACAACACAATCTACACCCACCATGAAAGAATTTGGTTGTATCCATATTGAAAATCCCTCTCCTGAGATTTCTTGACAGGATACACCAATTGGTTTTCATGGAAGTAGAGGATCTTTTTCAATTTCCCAAGGTCAGGCCGAAGGGCAGCCAGTTCGGTCAGGTTAAGCACTGAGCTTGCAAAGAGGATCCTAGAAAACAAAGAAATGAGGATTTACTGTCCAAAGCACATGCGAGGGGTCGTCCTTCGCCCTGCTCGTCTTTCCTCCGCCCCACACGGGGAAAACACATCACCTACAGGGACACATCAACAGTTGAGCCTTAATACCATATAGCAGCATCCACATTGTAAGTTTTGATCTCTTAAACAGCAACTGCTAAGAACTGTAAAAGCCCTAAATTTCACTGGTCTTCTCAGCGCAGTTACTCCGAGATTGGGAAAAGGCGTAAAAAAAATAAAAAAAAAAAAGAAAAAGAAGAAAAAACCTGGGTGGATTTTATTGAAAAAAGCAAAAACGCTCTGTCTGAAGGACAAACAGAACACAGATAAGGCTGACTGGGGAATACTTCGCCTCCTAGTTTCATTACAGTTGCTTTCTTTATGCAACCATCTACTGAAATTCAATACAAAAGCAGGAACGGCACATGCTCATGTTACGACACAAGCCCTTTGATTTATGCAACAGACTTACCTGCCGCGGTCTTCTTTCTTTTCCCTTTGGAATGTTTTCTCTCCCAGCCCACTTGAGGTACCCTATAAAAATCTCCTCTTCTCCACTATTGAACTGGTCAGGCCCCAGACACACAATCTACGAAAACCCTTACACAAAGCACACATGGAAAGTGATGAAAGGCCGACTCACTGTCTTTGGAAACAATAAGCTGAGAGAACACCTGTCTATGATAAGAGCAAGTGTTTACTCACTCTCAGTCCACAAACACTCACTTTACTGCCTATTACTGTGAGACGGAATGGAACAGAAAAGATGAACAAGACAGCACACTGGATGAAACTGTCTGCAATAGAGACATACATGAGGTATTAGGAAAACAAACAGAAAGGAGTAATAATAGAACACAAAAGAAAGACAAAGTACAGTCCCTGAGCAGCTGAGGACATTCAGATGGCACAAATCTGATAGGATGACACATTCGTAACACAATGTAGCATCCTTTGACCCTTCCAGTTTTAATTCTCATTCAAAAAAAATGAGGTTTGAGAAGGTTAAGAGTCCTTTCTCGAATCACACTGGTAGAAAGTTAGCAAAGCAGAGACTGCTGGTCTTCTAAGCCTAAAGTGTTTTTCCTTCTACCACAAATACAAATTGGTTGTGGACCCTTTACATGGAAAATGCTTTTTTCTGTACTTAATAAATGTAAAATATCATCCTTGTTATTACCGTGATTACAACTACAATAAATCCTCCCTTGCTGACAAGCCAAATGGCTAACTTCAGGTGTTTATATGATCTGCAGCACAAGCCTTTCACACAGGAAGAATGATTACATAATAAGTGCATACATCATAAATAGGACTTCAAGTGCCTTCTTCATAGGCTACAAGAAGCACATAAGACCAAAAGTCAGTAATCCCTCTTTAAACCACATATTAATTTTACTGTTTATCACTTCAAAGTTTAAAAAAAAATCTCATCAAGGAGGTGCCATTTATTTTTTAAACTGTTTATGCCCAACCAAAGCAAATAGTAAAATTATGGTCAGGTAATGCCCTGTTTTGCCAAAGATAATCCCTGTCACTACTGTTACCATGCAGTCTAGTATAAGCCTTTCTAAAACTTATAATGAAAACTTCTGAAAATATGGAGATATGCGTTTACCTATAAATCTGATCATTGGCAAAGGAAAGAATATTAATTTTTTATTAAACACTAATTTCTATAAAGCTAAACCTTCATCAACATTCAACGGATGATAATCCATGTGTCTATTACTGAGTCATTCTCTCTCTTCATTCCTCTTCCCTCCCCCACCACACACACTATTGCAAGGATGACTTGCAGTTTTATGAAGCCCTGAACAAGCTGACTATTTTTCACATATAAAGAAGACATAAGCATTAAATGCACCACTATATACCTAATTGATTACAAGGAAAAATGCAGTGAGTATGGCTTATTCATCCCAGCACTTGTAATGAAGAAATGTGGTAGACACTGACTTGACTAAGACAGCAGACTTAGTGCACTGTATCAATAAAGAAGAAGGTGAAATCTGCATCCCCAAATGTGAGGCACTAAGGGAGATGCGAATCATCCATGTATTTCACCCCCAAATGCCTGACTTGAATTTGATATGAGGAGATGATCTGACAAATATTCTGTAAAATAACTGTGCTGCATCTCCAAAAATGTTAATATCATGAAAGAAAAAAATCTAGGTTAGAGGAAAATAGAGATCTCAAAACAAAATTCAGTGTGTAATCCTTGATTGCTGACTATTAACTGACTGTCACCTTGAGCAAGTCGGATCAGCTAAGTCAGATCCCAGCTAAGTCGGATCAGCGTAGTTCTGAGTGTTGCTGAAGGAAGAGGACCCACCCTGGGTGTCAGCAACACCAACCAATAGGCTTTCTGCCCGGATGGAATAAAAGGGAAATGAAGAAGGAAGGCTCCATTCTGTTTCCTCAGAGGAGCTGCATTCCTCACCTCCACCTTGGAAGACATCTCCCGGCTTCCAGCACAGACCCCTCAGCCTCCAGGTCAGGCTCATTTGGGACACTGCAGTGAGCTCCAGGCTTTCGACTGGAACCTTCAGACCTGCAGCACACAGAGAGCACTTTCGCACTTTTCCACACCTGACTCTGAGACGGCCATTGTAAGTCAATCTTGCAAATTCTTTTATATTTGCACACCTCGCCTTAAATCTGCTTCTCTAGTGAGCACTGACTGATACAACTGACTGGATGGGAAAATATAGCTACAAAGGACATTATCAGGACAAGGGAAATGTGAATATGCACTGAATGCAAGATTATACATTTTTATTGATCTTGAATTTCTCCTGCATAACACTTTTGTTCCAGTTACTCAGGAGAATATCCTTATTCTTAGAAGATTCATGTCAAATTATTTACATATGAAGTGTCAAAATGTCTGCAACAAATTCTGAAATGGTTCACTAAAAATGCTACTACTAATAATAAATATTCATATGTACATATTTACATAGATAGAAATTTAAAAGTGTACAAAAACATTAGCAATTGATTAATCTGTGTAAATTAGATGCAGTTCATTGTTCTATTGCAAATGTTTGGTAAGTTAAGCATTTATAGAACTATAGATTTGGGGGAACATAAATTAAACGGCAATAAGCAAAAAAGAAAAAAATTCTCTATTCCCTAAACAGTAAACCCATCAAATATGTGTTTCTAACCATAACCCAACTGTTAATCTTCTACATACAGATTTTCCCCAAGTTGAACCAGCAAATGTTTAACCAAGGCAAGCCCTTTGCACCACTTTAACTCAAGTCCTCTCTCCTTACCCTACCTACCAACTGATCCACAACTAAAGGCTCCAAACCGCAAGTCAAGCCTCCAAAAAAAAAACCTCCCGAAGAAGAGAATGCAACATCATCAGAAGAAAAATGGCACTAATTATCATAATACGATCCATCTGAAACTGCCCACACAAGACTTCTTTTGAAAGGAAATTAATTGAAGTTTCACAACATATCTTGAAACACTCCTCATTTATCTCCATCAGTAGCAAAGTACTTCTCTTTGTTTTTTCACTTAGGAAATGGTAGTTAAACTGGACAAACAGTGATTCTTAATATACTTAATTCAATGCCCAAAAGAAGTGATGATGTCCGTACACATACAAAAAGCAGGTATGAGCCGCAGCAAGTATTACTTTGTTCCCTACCATTAACTTCTTAAAGTTGATAATTATACAGTGAATGGCAGCACTCAGTCAGCAGTTAATCCCTAGGCTACCAAGGTTCATCTTGCTTCAGGTATTATTTAAGCAATAAATTCTAACAAGGTACACTTTATCATCCCACAGTGTGCCTCCGCCAGGAAGGGCATAAGGTGATAGCAAAAACCACTAGGAACAAGATAATTCCTGACAGCTGCTGCTTGAGCACAAGTTAAATTGAACAGTTTATCTCAGCATGAAGATGTTATAAGGTTTTATGTTTAATATTTTAAAATTAACATAAAACCCAGAGAAAGCAGTTGGGCAATCTTTCACAAACATGACATACTACAATCACTGTATAAACTGGATTAGTACTTATTACCGTGCTACTACAGAATTAGGCTGTTTTTAGACCACCAAAGAGCCTTAAATTGCAACTTTTGTCTCTGCAAAAGAAACCTATATTTAAAATGTCTGCTAAATTCAAATTAATGGCTACATCATTAACTTACTATTTCACCCAAAGTACAAGTTGCTATTATGATCGTCTAACCAAAACGGCTCTGCGCTGTAAGCACATTAACACCATTCCATGTATTTGGGAGAGCATCCATATAGATACTTTAACTGTAGCCAGTGCACACTCTATGTACAGTGTGAGCCATATTTGCTTAAAGAATCCAAAACAATTTCACACAATAAAATTCAAGATTATAGATTTTACTCTTTTCTGCTCAATTTTAAATAAGCAAGTTTTTTAGCTTCTTACCTTGCTTGTATAACACGTAGAAAAAAGATGCTGAAATATACCCTCGTCCCATAGAGGTGTTAACAGTATTATCAAGATGCATACCTTTCTGTCACCAATGGCCGGAAAGGCAGTGGAATAAGAAACACAGGACAGACACTTTATATTCCAACCACTGCCCATACAATCTACGAATAACCCTTCATAAACGTGGTTGTCTTACTCTTGCCCCATGAAATCTCTTCAGTAGGAACCTCCCTCCCCTGAAACCACTTATCTCATAACAGGATAGAGTGTACATTTTAAGAGATACTAGTTCAACCTGTGTTAGTCATACTGAAACGACTTCTTGCATGGCTTCAGTAGACCTTGCACAAGGGTAAATTCTTCCAGCTGGGTCACGCTGTTCAAAAGCTAAACTCTCAGCCTGGATTCATGTTGCTCAGCGTCCACAACCAAGCTTTTGTTGTTTTCTTCCTTCTTTGGGGCTTCTGTTCTTCGATATTACTCCCCACAATCCTAGTTCCTTTCCGTTCTGGCATGAAGTGTCTTCTGTGATAATGTGCTGTCCAAGTATGACCGGCCACATACGGCAACAAGCACCTCAAGGGCACCTAATGCAGCTGAGGAAGCAATCTTTCATTTACCTTGGACCGACTGAGTTTAAACTTAACCAAAGTTTAAACTTAGCCAAATGCAGCTACTGGGCACTGTATTAGAGGACACATCTCTGGGTGGACGAGCTTTCCCCAACCCAACACCCCTTCATCTATGACACCAAACGCACTTGCTTGCCTGACTGACCTTCCTGAACAGATCCTCGACCTGCTTGTGATAACGTCATTTCTACACTTCCCCTTCACCACCTCAATTTCACCTACCAGGCTTTCCAATCCCAAAATGGTACTATGTTTCTGCTTCTATAATTAAAAAGATACACATGTCCCTTACCGAAAATGTTTAAGTACAAAAATGTAAATAGCATCACCTATAACCACTTCAAACACCGAAAGGAATTCTTCACATTTTGGTGAAATCCAGTGTAGTGGATTGACAACTGGTGGTGAACTTATAACTCTCAGCTGAACTGACTAAGCGTGGTGCTGGGTGTGGGAGGCCCATTTGGGGACTGTTGCCAGCAGCATAAGAGGCAGAACTGGAGAAGAAATTAGGCTATTGGGAGTGGAGAAAGGCTTTCAGGAGTTGTTGGAAGCCGTTGGTTCTGTTGAAGGAGCTTGTCGTGCTGGCTTTCCTGATGAACTCAGCTATTTTCATCCTTCAAGGAGCC